TAAAGATTTTATTTATTTATTTATTGGAGAGCAAGCCAGAGAGAAACAGCATGAGAGAGGAGAGGGTCAGAGGGAGAAGCAGGCTCCCCGCTGAGCCGGGAGCCCGATGTGGGACTCGATCCCAGGACCCTGGGATCATGACCTGAGCCGAAGGCAGTTGCTTAACCAACTGAGCCACCCAGGCTCCCCTTACTGTTAACTTCTTAGCCCTTTGGCCCCTCCTACCACTTCCCCCCTCCTCTCACTGCACTGAACCTAAAACCACAGCACACTTAGCAACTTCATAAACTAATATTGATACTATATTTTTATCTAATTTACTGTTTATATTCCAGTGTCATCACTTGATCTGATAATGTCCTTAATAACACCATTCCTCATTTAATACAGGAATTAGTCTTTGATGCCATGTCTCTTTAGCCTCCTTTAAACTTGCCTTTTTATAACATTGATATTTGTGAGGAAATAGCCCAGCCCTCACTATTTGTTTTTTAAGAATGGTCCTTGTTTTGTGTTTGCCTGATGTTTCTCTGTAATTAGGTTGAAGTTAAACATTCTGAGCCAGAATACTGTTTAGGTGATCTGTCCCTCTCTAGGTGCCACATCTGGAGGAACATAATACCCATCTCTCTCTCATAGATGATATTAATTTTTATCACTGATCAAGATGTCGTCCAGTTTCTCCATTGTATTCTGTTTATCTTTTCTTCCTTTAGCAACTAACAAGCAGTCTGTGGAGATATACTGAAGACATTGCAAATATTTTGCTTCTCATCAAAATTTCCCCCTAGATTTGGTAACCATGATTCTTGTCTGACCCAGTTTTTGCCATAATGGTTGGAAAGTAATGATTTTCTAATCCCAGTGCTGCTGCTTTTTTTTTTTTTTAAGATTTATTTTTGTATTTATTTGAGAGAGAGAGAGCATGAGTGGAAGGGGCAGAGGAAAAGAGAATCTCACGCAGACTCTCCACTGAGCATGGAGCCTGACTTGGGGCTCTGTCCCAGGACCCTGAAATCATGACCCCAGACAAAATCAAGAGTCAGATGCCAGCTGCGCTTACCCAGCCCACCCCGCCCAGTACTTCTTCCAGTTAGCTCTTGGCTATGGGCAAGAGACCTCCCTTCTTTTTTTTTTTTTTTTAAAGATTTTATTTATTTATTTGACAGAGACAGAGATAGCGAGAGCAGGAGCACAAGCAGCGGGGGTGGGAGAGGGAGAAGCAGGCTTCCCCCCGAGGAGGGAGCCCGATGCGGGGCTCGATCCCAGAACCCTGGGATCATGACCTGAGCCGAAGGCAGACGCTTAACGACTGAGCCACCCAGGCGCCCGAGACCTCCCTTCTTGATCAATCTATTTATTATCGGCGTGGACCCATGAATTATATGTTTTTAATAATTTACATTCTATTAATTTAATTATTTTAGTCTTCACTTTGTCACAGACTTGGCCATTGAGTGCTTCCTCAAGCTGGCTCCTGTGTCTTTCTGACTGGTGTGGCTTTTTCTTTCTTTTTTTCTTTTTAATCTTTTATTTTTAAAGTTTTATTTATTTAAGTAATCTCTACACCCCACATGGGGCTTGAACTTACGACTTTGAGATTGAGTCGCATGCTTTTCTGAATGAGCCAGCCAGGTGCCCCTAAAAATCTTTTTATTTATAAATGTTAGATTTATGAAGGAGTTTACTGATTGCTTTTTTTGTATACAAGATCTGGAATCACATATGAACCATGACTCCTAGAGCAAATGATTGGCAGGAGAATGTGTTGTTGTTTTTTTTTAAAAGATTTTGTTTATTTATTTGAATGAGAGAGCAAGCGAGAGAAAGCACAAGCAGGGGGAGGAGCAGAGGGAGAAGCAGACTCCCAGCTGAGCAAGAACCCCGGGATCATGACCCGACCTGAAGGCAGAC